TATTAGATCCTAGGATTAGAAAAGATGGTTTAAATATTTTACTTGAAACATATTGTGAAAATATGAATATTAAAATTGGAAATAAAAAGGAAGAAATTAATAGTTTATTATTTGAAATGTATGGTTTATATGAATCTGAAGTAACAGGGAGTAATAAAAATTCTACAACTTGTACAACTACATCTTCCACTTCTGAATTTGAGTCCAGTAGTGGAAAAGAAACTTTTTTATTTAATAAGAGGAAAAAATCTATTGTCTTGACAACAAGTTCATTTATTGAACTTCATTTTTATTTATAAGAAATTTTTTCTACTTTAGGTGATTCTTCTTTCACCTCAGAGGGAACAAATAATTTTGATATTTTGGCCTGGTGGAGTGAACATGCAAAAAATTATCCAAATATTTTGACATTTCATATTTCATTCATCCAACCATTGTATGCTTTGTATCATTCAAGTTTAAATGAAATAAAATTCCTATTTTTCTTCCAATTTGTTATTCACTTTGAGACTTTGTTTCTTTGACTTCTTACTTAGTTAAGCATTTTTTTTCATTTCTTTGTTAGACTTCTTATTTTTTTCAAATAATTCCCAAAGGAGAGTTAATATTTTAGTTTTAATTAGTAAAGAAATAAAAAATAAAAAATGTCAAAAAACAAAAAAAATTGGTTTGGCCCACGCCCAAGTAGGGGTGTTAATCGATTGATTTTTTATTGGATCCAATCTGATTCAAACCTTATCAAATCGGATTTGGACAATTCATTATAATCATTGGATTGGGTCAATCGAAAATAAATTGGTTTATATTCTTATTGGTCTGAATTGGACCTAAACCAAATTTCCAATAATCTGACCATGAAGCCAAAATCCTTGTCCAATTTGAAATCTATCAAAACTGAAGTCAGCATAAAATCACTTTTACGAAAGCACTTTTCCAAAAAAAAACTTTTACAAAAGCACTTTTATAAAAGTAATTTTGTGAAAAGTACTTTTATGAAAGAACTTTTATAAAAGTAATTTTATGAAAAAGTACTTCTACGAAAGCACTTTTATAAAAATACTTATTATGAAAGCACTTTTAAAAAGTATTTTTTTAAAAGCACTTTTACAGAAACAGTTTTATAAAAGCACTTTAATAAAAACACACTTATAAAACTACTTTTGTGAAAGCACTTTTATAAAGTACTTTTACACGAAAGCACTTTTGCAAAAATACATTTATGAAAGTATTTTTATAAAAACACTTTTACTGAAGTATTTTTATAAAATCACTTTTACGAAAGTACTTTTATAAAAATACTTTTATGAAAGCACTTTTATGGAAGTACTTTTATAAAAGCACTTTTCTAAAAGAACTTTTATGAAAGCACTTTACAAAAGCACTTTTATGAATACACTTTTATAAAAACACTTTTACAAAAGTGTTTTTATAAAATAACTTTTACGAAAGCATTTTTATAAAAGCACTTTTACAAAAGCACTTCTATGAAAGTACTTTTGTAAAAAAAGCATTTTTACAAAAGCACTTTTACGAAAGCACTTCTATGAAAGTACTTTTGTAAAAGTACTTTTACAAAAATACTTATACGAAAATATTTTTATAAAAGCACTTATACTGAAGGACTTTTATAAAAGTACTTTTACATTTTAATGGATTGGATTGGATCCAGGCCTAGTTGGAGTGGATCCAATCCACTCCATTTACATTTTGATGGATTGGATTGGATTTAGTTTATATTGGATTTGGACTGGACTAAGTTCAGTCCATTTGTAAGTGGACTCACATTGGACTGGATTGGATATGACCAAATCCAGTCTAATTGACACCTCTACGCCCAAGGCTCGACACAGCCTAGGCCCATAGCACGGCCTACAACCCGCTCGATCCAAACCCACGGCACGGCATAGGCCTACACGGGCTTGGGCCATGGGCCATGTCGGGCTAACCCCCCAAATTATCCCTAGGGAGGATGGCATGACCCAGGACGACCAACATTTTGCAGCTATAAGCGAACCACACCGTGTTGGCCTGGTACAACCCGTTTTACACCTCTATTCTTCCTTCTCTTATCTTTTGCAATCAAGTTGTGGTTAAAAAGTTAAAACATTGAAACTTTTTTTTATTTATTTTTGAGAAAAGAAAGCATAAGATGGGGTCCTACATAGGGGTGATCATTTCAGCCTGCCCAGGCCCGGGCCCACATCAGGCCCACAAATTTTAGGGTCGGGCTTGGGCTTAATACTTCAAGCCCTACCCACATATATTTAAACTTACACATTTTGTGTATAATGTATACATATGTATACATGCTATTTTACATTATATATTTTTTATATATAAATATTATAACATGACATGTATAATTTTTATTATATGTAATATTTTATATTATATAATATATAAAATAAAAGTTTATACGCATGTTATGTTATTTACTATAAAATATTATAGATATGTAATATTTTATATATGAAAGACACTGGCCTAGAATCAGGCCCGACCCAGCCCGAGCCTGTGTAGACCTGAACTAGGACTTATATTATAGGCCCGGGCCTAAACTATAACCCTTATCATAAGTGCACAGCCCAGCCTGGGCCCAACCCGGCCCGGCCCATGATCACCCCTACTCCTACATTAGAGTGGAAACTAGAAAGGATGTCATCCCCAGTCCAACATCTATTAAAAGCGACACAAATTGATAGGAAGTCAAAAGCCTACCAAGAGGAGATTCGTCCAAGACTAGGGGTGTGCTAAAATTTTAGTAGCATTCTCCCCGAAAATGAAAGATTACATGCAATATCGAGTAGGGTCTTCAATTGTGCTTGCCAACATGAATGGTTTTGCTTTTCAAAACAAAAATAGTGGCAGTGTCAAAAATTGGCAAACATCCTCTTTGTGGCTCTAATGATGAGCTTCATTTGTAATATTGATAAAATATTATCAAATTGATAATGTCAATACTTAAGCAGAGTAGACATATACCCACAAACAAATATTATTCCCACTAAAAACAAAAGGAGGTACAGAAATCCTCTAAAATCAATATTTTGGTCGTGGCATTATCACCCAAAAATTTTTGTAATATTAATCAACATAAAGCTGTGCTTGGTTGCAGTGTAAATTTATTTGCATTAGTACAAATGTATAATAGTGCAAATGAAAAAATGCAAATTCCTATTTAATTTTGTTTTGGGATTTTACTTTATTTTGCTACATGTCTTAATTTACTTTATTTCTATTACAATCAAACAAAATAAACTAAAATTTGAAACAAAAATAGGTCAGAATTTATATTTAAATCATTTTTCCTGCCACAGTTTTGCATCAGTACAAATTTAGTTGCATTACAACCAAACACAGCCTAAAGCTCAATTTGGAAGAAATACAAATACAAATTTGTAGAGTACAAAACCTTACATTTTATATTATTTTGTATGTATCTGTACTGTACATATTTGTGTATTCCTTCCAAACTGAGCCTAAGTTTCAAATTCCGTACTGCATAGTTTAAAAAATAAAAATAAAATTGAGGATGCACTTTATTTTCGTAGGCAACTCTTATTGCTGCAGTTATGGGGGTTTGTAATCCTATGCTCCATTTACTTGCATTGCAAATTCAATTGCACTAGTAGAAGTGCATGCGAGCGTGAATGAAAAATGTGCAAATTCTGGTTTACTTTTGCTTTAGGCATTTCTCTAATTTGCTCCAATATTCTCTACTTCATCTACAATGCAAATAAACAAAACAAAGTAAAATGTGAAATAAAACTAAACTAGAGTTCTTTTCTCAATGCACTTGCATTTTCATACTAAAGGCTTAGTAAGAGCACAAATACAAATATGTACAATGCAAATACATATAAAATAATACAAAATATAAGTTGTTTTTGTGCTCTTATCAAACCGAGCCTAATGCTGAGTTTGAAAGAAGTACAAATAGCAAATATATAGAGTGCAAAACCTTATATTTTATATTATTTTGTATGTATTAATGCTGTACATATTTGCATATGTACTGCTTTCAAACTGACCCCAAGTATTGATCCCAAGTCTCTACTATAACCATTTCTTAGATCTTACCACCTAGCCAATTGCCACATTCACCAACTACAAACGTTCATTTATTATCCTAAGTAGAACAAAAAACATGATAATTAAGAGGTGAAAAACACTACTTCAGCTAAAACCTGAAATCATGGGCCTGTGACTCGTGACTTTAGAGCCCAAGGTTAAGTCGCAGGTGAAAGTCACAGGCATATCAACTCAGTGGTGGTTAGGTTGTTGGTACGTAAACTGGATGGTCCCATAAAAGATGTGGTGGTTTCAAGCCCCGCTATCAGATCCCACCACCACACCTTTGAGAAGGGTTATAAATTGTTGCTGAAAAAGTGATGTATTATATATACTAAGAGCCACAGGTATTATGTATTCAATACCAAAAAAGTGAAAAATAAGAAATTCTATATTAAGGGTATTCAAGTCTAACTTGGTTTGGTTCAGTTCATCAAAATTGTCTTACCAAAATGTCGATTAGATTCTATTTTTGAACCAAACAAAATTGAACCGACCAAATAAACACCCCTATTCTTCATAGTAGCTTAAGCGAAATTCATATCTCTGCCCCACAACGTCCCACAGAACATCCTTGCCGTGTATTAGGAATATCTCCTAATAATAGTACCAGAATCGATGATGACATCATATGTTCCCAATAGACAGAATAGCAAAGGAGCAACACTTAAAGGCGCAATGAGAACATATCCTCCACTAGCTGTTGATTCAAAGACATACTGGATGTAGGTTGTTAAGACAAAATTCGGATTTCGCAAGACAAGAGAAGAGCTCAAGATGGGGCCAACGACCATCTTGGACAGTTCCACGCTAATGATATCATTTACGACACCATCGAAGCCCTACTAGGAAGGCCATGTACAACTTAAGAAAGACATTGGAAAAGCAAAACAAAAACACAAAACTGCATGATAAAAAAGCCTAAAAAATTAATTTCCGATAGCTTGTTCCAGCAACCTCCTGGGGCCATTCATTAAGCCTGGGCTCAACCTGCACATAAGAACACAAAATTCTGACTGATCGAGTGCCCCATCTCCATCCAAATCTCCTTCTCGTAGCATACACAACAGTTCATCATCTCCCAAGTCTTGGAGTCCCAGAAGAGAGCAGTTCATCTTGAGGCTCTCGAATGTGATGAGACCCTTCTCCTGATCCATTAGCAAGTTGAACCCATTACAGAGTTCAGCAATAAATTGGTCAGCACCCAATCTCTCTAACATTGATGGAAAGAAGTCTTCAAACACAACATCGTTCTCTTCGGCCATTGTTATGTCAACTTTGAACTAAGCAAAAGCTAGATGTATATCTCTCAAGATCAGAGTGGACGAGTAGGAAAATAAGAGATGAGTTATGTTGAACTTGATGCTTTTGTGTGTTACAGATGAGGAGGTTTTATAATGTTGTTACAAGTTTGCAACTCCTGAAGCTTCTGGCCCTTTCATCAAGAGGTTCTCCTTCGTGGAAGCTGCATGGGAACTCAAATTCTAAATTTATAGAATCATCGTTTTTGGTAAAAGAATTAAGATTTCATTCAAAGCACAGAAAGAAAAGAAAATGTTAGTTATTAGCAGCATCATGATTTCATGCTCTCTCTCAACTCTACTTTCACATTTTTCTCTTTGGACTGTCCAAGAAGCTTCAACCAAATTCTTACAAAATGGTACTGATCGATTTTGTTACCATAAAGGAAAAGGGTAGGACATTAGCTAGCTAAATGGTTGAAGATGGTAGGATCATGCTGACTTTTAGTACAATATTGATCCCTCTAGGAGGGAACCATCCCTTGGTCTACAAACTTCAATTGAAGAAGACAGAACAAGAGATAAAAGGTTTAACCTTAAAAAGACTTATTTCAGGTCATTGGGTTTTTGCAACTTTTTTCATTATAAAGAGTGTCAGGCAATGGATGTAAGAGTGGAGGTTGGGGATTTTTTAAGTTATCAAGGTTGGACGTTTTGCAGTGATACAGGGCAGAATTTGGAAGTTGATGGCTTTTAAATTGGATACAAGTTATAGGGTACATTCTCAAGTTATAGGGTACAGAAATTGAATCATTTTAGCCACCGGTTCCCGGATCATATGGTCTGATCGTAGGTCCAAACTTGAGTCAGATGGTTTTGGGTCTAAAACCGGTCCAAACTTGATAAAGGGGGCACACTTACTAGTGATAAACCAAATACACAGTATTTAGTAGTGACAAAAGAGGATATTGCTTGTTCCAATGATACAATCTTGGTAATTGACTTGTTTTTATGTAATATTTATCATATGATGCTGATACGTGCCTCGTCTTTGGCTTCACATCCAGATCACAGTCAGCTACATTTAATGTCTATAACCTTTTGTAGAAGGATATTTTGAAGTAAGCTTAATCACAATGTTTTAAAAACTAATCCAGAACTGAAATCATTTTGGTCATTAGTTTTGGGTCAACGGTTCGACCATTCAGCTAAAATGAATGATTTGCTATAATTTAAAAAATAAAAAAAGGGTAAAAAACTATTGCTTATGTCAAATAGATTGACAATTCAACCATACAGTTCAACGGGTCACTAACTAAATCAATAATTTTTCGAAAAAACCGGGTCTAGAGTGAAACAGAACTGGTTGACTGAATAATTGCTGGGTCAAATGGTCCAACCATCTAGATCAAAGAGAGTTCTAAAACCATGCTTAATCATAGGAGTGAACAAAAAAACTGAAAAACCAGACCAACCAAAATCGAACCAAAAAATCTGTTAATCAAACTGATCAATTCAGTTTTGCTTCAGTGTTTTTAAAAAACTGAAGGTACTGGTTTGATTTCAGTTAACCAATATAGAAAACCGGTGATTAACCGAATCGACCAGTATACATATATTTCTATATATTTTATATTTTTATATATTATAAATTAATAAATGTTCATTATATATAAAAACATATATTTATAATATATGATATATTATTTATTATTTAAAATATAATATTATATATATATATATATATATTTATAATATATATTATAAAAAATTAAAAAACTGAAAAACCAATAAACAGAACCGACAATTAACCAAATCGATCATCCGACTAACTGATTGGCTTCGGTTCAATATCAATTACCTGTTTTTAAACGATAGTACCGGTTCCATTAAAAAAACCCCACGGTTCGATTAATCATTTGTAAGAGAGAGAAGTCAAATTGCGTGATGCGCATCCTTCCAACGCCTCTGACCTGGGTTTGTCGGTATACGGTCTTTTCTGGTACAGGCGAGTTTTGTTCTTTGAACCTACCAAGTAAGTCCCGCTGAAATTGAGCAGAGGTCGATCTGGGCATTTCTACTCACTTCGAAGCCTTGTTTTGATTTCTGTTTCTTCTTGGAAGCACGTAAAATATATGAGAAAATCAGTAAGTGTACCTACTTTTGTAGAAGATGGTCGCAAGTTCGTGGAAGGATACCGCCCATTGAGCCATTTACATGTGATAATTTCATCGGGGGAAACGTTTCGCTGGATTCTTAGTGTGTGGTAACGGACAAATGAAATTTCCAAGGTCTTTCCACATATAACATCTCCACCACCACTTTGGCGTTTACAGGTTCAACAATATTGTGTTCATATATAGGGTAAATTGCTGAATTCTCCCTTCAAGTAGACCTTTTTGTTGGAATCTTCTAAAAAGTGGAAAGAAAATTTTTAAAATACTCTTATTTTGTTCAAAATGTTTATTTTCCAAGTTTTTTTTTTTATATATGGATGGCTATCCTAAATTTTTATCAATCTCTTTTCTGAAAATGATTTTTCTTTACAAATTTTCCCTTCATATCAATCACTCAAAGGTGAAGCTTTAACTTTAAATTCTCATTTTTTTAATGGAGTTTGTATTATTTTTCTTCTGTAGAATCAGCTTCATAGTAACTGTTTGGGTATTTTGGACATTCTTATGCCTCTATTTAGAAGATTCTAATAGAAGGGGTTCACTTTCAGATATCCCCTTTACCCCCCCACCCCCACCCCCACCCCCAAACTGGTAGGGAGATTTGAATCAGTTGGTATATTGGAGGAAAAACATGAATGGATAATATCCAAAGCGGTTCTAGATGAGTTTGGTTCTAATCGTAAGAGGAAAATCTATCAAGTTTCGATCGGAATAATTATATACTAGTGAGGCCCCATTGAAGGAAAGCAATTCATAGTAAAATAATAAATGCATAATTACTGTTAATTTAAGGTTATTAAATCATAATTATTGTTAATAAATTATTATTAATTTGTAATTAAATTTAAATAATTGTTGTTAGTTAATAGTAAAATAAGTAAATTATTGTTTATGATAAGTAATTGAATGGCGACGGAGTGGGTTCGATGCAAAGACCATATTCCCCATCCTCGACCCTGATTTTGAAACAAATCCCCATCCCCAACCCTGATTTTGAGACAAATCCCAATCCCCGACCCTAAACACTGTTAGGGATAAAAGTTACCTTCCACCCCGGGTCCTTGACGAAGACGGGTTTCCCATGGGGACCTGAATCACCAAAACTTTTTAATTAAAAGTATTTTTTGGAAAATAAATTTACTTAAAATAAAGAATAATTTAAAATATAAATAATAACTTTAATATATTTTGATATATGTATATATAATGTAAATAATCTATACTATATATAAAGCAAAGCGGTCCATGTCAGCTACCCTCTCCTTTTCCAAACCCCCTTCCTCCTTAACTCTCTCTCTCTCTCTCTCTCCTTTTCCCTCCCCACCACTCCCATTTTGCCAATTCAGCAGAATCAGCACCCTTTCTCTTTAGTCCTTAATTAAGTAAGATAACGAAATTAACCAATTTACTATTCATTATGTAATTAAAGTTAATTAAAATTTTTAATTTGGAAAATAGATTTACTTAAAAAAGAGGAAATCCTTAAAATATAAATAATATTTAATACTTTAATATATATATATATATATATATATATAATCAAGGTCGGGGCAATGCAAGGACTTCACTCTCTATCCCCATCCCCACCCTATTAATCCCCATTGGGTCGGGGAGGTCGAGTACCTAGCGAGGATGGGGAAAATTGCCATCCCTAAGTAATTTTGTTAATTAAATAGTCTAACTAAGTTTTAATAAGCAACCTAATAAATTAAAGGTTTAAAGTGCTAAAAATTCACTAAATTAATTATCTTAAATTAAGTAATTATTATGGAAACCTATAATTAACCATTTTACTATTTAAGGGAAAATTTCTTAAACTACCCTTATGATGGCTTGGAATGAGAAACAAGCAGGGAGTTGTCATCCAAATGATGGTTTAGAATGAGAAACAAGGAAGAATAATAGTGGTGATGAGGGAAAGAGTGGCTGAAAACCGACGAGATGTATACCAGAGATAGGTGAGAACACTAAGAAAGTACTGCTACTGTGGGTTTACTATTCTCGTCAAGAAGATGATGAACAGTGACTGAATAAAGGAGGAAAGAAGAATGGAGGGTAAATGGAAGAGAAAAAATGGCAATGAGGATGATAAAATGAAAAGAAACAGATGGAAGGGAAGAGAGTTCCAATCGCCACCATTGTGCTTTCGTTTCGATATTGAAGATGATGAATAGTAACTTCAGCCCATTAGATGTTACCACCGAAATAAACATCGGCACCAGAGAAGAAGGTGAACTTGGACAAGAGATGGAAATAGAAGGAGAAAGAACAGGGGTTGAGGTCAGAGAGGGTCACATGTGAGAGTGAAGACAGGGAACAATAAGGGTGTTGTATAAATTTAAAAAAAAATGACCAGTCATGTGATGTCAAATGTGAATGGAGTGTGATGGAAAGTTAATGGCAAGGGAGGTTTTCGACAATTGTTAGAAATAGTAGGGTTACTTTAAGACAATATGTAAACAGTAAAGGTAGAGTTAGTCGATTAGATAAACCATAAGGGTAGTTTAAGAAATTTTCCCTACTATTAATTATGTAAATAAAAYTAATTAAATTAATYAGTGTAAAGGTAGAATTAGTCGATTAGCTAAACCATAAGGGTAGTTTAAGAAATTTTCCCTACTATTAATTCTGTAAATAAAACTAATTAAATTAATTAGTGTTAATTATTTAAATCATTGGTGTTATACAGCCCAAGAATGGGGTCTACAAGGTTTTGGCTCAAGATTTTAATGCAACTCATATATTAGCAATGGAAGAGGAATATGGAAATGGAAGATTGTTCAAAATCTTCCCAAAATACTTTATCCAATTTTGTAAGGAATCCTAATTGGTTCTACTCTATGGGAT